GTTTTCAAAATATATTGTTACGTACAAAACAAAACAAAAAACGACATTATTTTTTTGCAGTCAGACGTATAAAATATCTCATTTCAAAATACGTTAGTCTACTATTACAGATACTATAAGTAAGCATTATTGTATCACCATACAGTTTAACAACAAAAAGGTTGATAGAATTTTTTTTATAAAATTCAATATGTTTGATTTGAAGTATTCATTTTGAGWTATTAAGGTATGCATTTCTAGCATAAATAGATAAAATGTAATACCCTTTTTTGATTATACGTATACATTAATATAGAAAACTCTATTCATACATGCAAAAATTCAATACAATCAGTAGATGGCTCACGGCTCTACTACACTTTAACCTTTGAAGGTTACTAAGAATGTTAAATTTAAAGCTAGTCTACTCAAACATATTTTGTCGAAAAGCACTGCGATATTTCCCYAAAAAGTAACAAAAGAAGCACATTCATCGTTAGCACGTGTTTTGTAATTTGCCCCTAATATAATCAATTTAACTATACATCAAAGGTCATAAATAAACTGCTATTAAATCCAAAAATTGATTTGGGACCAAATACTTTCAGGTGTATTATTTATTATTTCATTATTAAAAAATAACTTTTTGACTTAACTTTAACTTTATAACTCGTTAATGCCCAGCCTCGTATATTTTACACGCCATATTCATTAATTTCCATTCCAATTAAAATAAAAACAATTCTAAAAAATTTAATTTTATCAAAATATTTATAAATATGAAAAAAATAAATGGAATGAAATATACCTACATGTTTTTTATGAGCACATTGAATATGAATATGACTGTTTGATTAAATATTGTTTTTTCGTAATAAGTTTAATTGATTAAATATCAATAAAATACCATATTATCAGAAAATAACGGTTAAGAGAGTAAATTAAAAATAGAATTTAATAATATTTCTTTGAGGCGAAGGACATCGGTATATCGCATGCTGAGTAACGAAAATTGTGAAACGGCTATACAGACATGATGTAACAGACAGTGATTAGAAACCTAAATTATTTTTTTCTCGAAATTATCCAATATTTTAATCCCTTAAGTCACATTTTCCATGGTTTCTTCGGTTTAATTTGTTATCCGCACGAAAAGTTTCGTAAACAGAAATCGATATTTGGCTCTTGTTTTCTTTCAACAGAATATAAAACAGAGAGGGGAGGCGGTTATAAATTTAATTTCTTTCGGTTATACTCCTACTGATAGAAGAATAAGATTCGTGTGTATCGAAGTTCAGGCTTACAACTGCAATTTACAACACTAAATCCAATAAGTTTCAAACAAATTATTCATAAACAACAATAAAAATATACACATTATACATAGAGTAGCATCTSTTTCATTATTTTTTCGATAAAKTATAATAATGTGGTATGATTAACGTACAACTATAAATACATATTTTACCATCCAAYAATCTTTTCATAATGATGTCCATTATTCACAGACAAGAAATAATATTTAGTTATACAGCGTGTCTATGACATAATATTATTTATATTAGCCACCTATGACTTATGAGTACATAATAAACTTGAAATTATTTTAATTTTATTATACTTCTGTTTGAGTTGATAAAATATGGATAGCAATATTTTTCTGATTTATCAAATTGAAACMGATTCTATTTTTGAAATTGTAAATCTTAGTGTAAAACTAAAATTATAAAAATTGAAATGCTCATCTCCACGTTTCATAAAAATTAAAAATATTGACATTTTATATAAACTTTTTTTTTAAATTGTTTAATAAATGGTTTGGTTATTAGCCGGCGTTACATATTTAATTTACATTAATTTCTTATAAACTTGCTTGATTTCTACTTATTATCTATATTTACAGATTTAAATTTTAATGTAAGTTAGAATATTCAAATCAGTTGACGCAGTTCTGTTGAGTTGACGAAATTGAAGAGTTTTTTGGTCGTCTCGGGAGTGGGTGATAGCATCTCGTATAATTCTGTCGATATATGCTTGACTGTAATGATTGTTCCGTACGTCAGGTAAAATGGAGGGTCTTCTTTGGCATGAGATATCYGTGAGACATGTGGGTGTGGCCTATTCGTAGGTGGACAAGAATTACCTCGTCTCTTCTGAATATCTCAAATGATTTGGGCCATGGTAGTATCGAATGTTTTATTTCTCTTAGTTTATTGTAATCACATTTCGCCCAGAGCTTTTGCCATTCATGTACTTTAATTTGGTYGAGTTTATCATTCCTCTGTCAGATATGAGGGGGCATACCTCAAAGACGGCGGTACCTGTTGTTTCTTTTGCTTTTAGATCAGCTTCTTCGTTACCTCTTATGCCGACGTGTCCCGTGATCCATGCGAGTGATATACTATTTTTACGTACATAGATTTCATTAATTATATGGCAGGTAACTGGTTGCGATGTATTTAAATTGTAGATGCTGATTAAATTACTTAAAGACTCGGACATTAATAGATATTTCTTAACGTTAATATAGTGAATGCTTTGAATGGCTGTAAGTATCGCTAGGCCTTCTACGGTAAAAATACTACATACTTCATTTGTTTTTAATTGTATGTTTATATCATTTGATATCACGACTAATCCTGTCTTCTGCTCGATTTTCAAAGCGTTGGTATATATCTGTATTCTGTATGTGTTCTGAATAAGATTGCAGCAGTTCGTAATGAAGACCTTTATAAATGTTTTTATCTGCAGTAKTTTTGTTGTATAATGATAGACTAACGTCTATTATACTTTTATTAAATCGCCAAGGGGGTACGCTTAATACAGTGCTTTGAATTGTATTGTTGATTAAGGTTTCGTTTTTAATAATGAAATATTGTTGTCTTTCATAATTTATCTAGGATAAGATGCATTTATTGGATTTTTCTGGTACCTTTTTTTAAATATTTTGTTGTACATTGGATTCTCTTGGTGTTTGGCTATTTTTAGTATGTACTTGGTTTCGAGCTATTTTCTCCTTAAAGAAAGATKAAGTTCTCCAGCCATACACAGTATGCTTGAGACTGGGCTACTTTTAAATGYACCTAAAGATAAGCGAATGKCAAAATTCTGTATTGTATTTAGCATTTTTATAGTTCTATGGTTAGCCGCTCCACAGACTATTGAACCGTAATCAATTTTAGATCTAATTAAGGCTTTATATATTTTAATTAGGCTGTCTGCATTAGATCCCCATTCAGTATGAGCTGATGTTTTTATATTTTTAATTGATTTGTGCGTACGGATTCTTAACTGTTTGATGTGTTGGCGCCAGTTGAGTTTTTTATCAAACGTTAACCCAAGAATTTTAACATTGTCACAGTAGTCAAGTGTTGTCTTTTTAAATTGAATTATAGGTTTGGCTATTTTTCTTTGACGGRTGAAAAGTATACATTTGGTTTCGTTCGGAGAAAAAGTGAAACCAGTTTTGAGGCTCTATTTACTTAACTTATCAAGTGTTAGTTGAATTTGATTTTTTATTGAATTCATGTTTTTTCCTTTATAATATATTAGTTCATCATCAGCGAAAAGTTTGATCACCGTGGGTGGAGGGACTTGCGCTGACATTTCATTAATTAAAATGAGGAATAATGTTACGCTAATAGAATATGATCCTTGTACTACGCCATCCTGGTTTGTGAACAATTCGGATAAGGAATTTATAATTTTTATTTGTAATGCTTTATCTTAAAATATATGATTTTTTATAAATTTGAGCATGTTTACATGAATGTCTAATTGTTGCATAATTTTTAACACCCTTTGTCTTCAAACAGTGTCGTAAGCTTTTTTTAGATCGAAGCTGACCAGTATTATATTCTGATTGYCAATTAATGCGTCACTGATATCAGTCTGTAAGGTTACCAGTGTATCGTTAGTAGATCTATTTTTCGAAAGCAGTGTTGATGTGGTGACAGTAAATTATGTTTTTCAAGATACCATATGAGTCTATGATTGACCATCTTTTCTATTATTTTAATCATAATGTTAAGCAATGGTATGGGGTGGTAACCTTTAGTGGTGTGCAGGTCTTTAACCATTTTTTGGTATAAGCATGTCTATTGCTTGTTTTCAGTTCTTTGGGAAGTTTCCTTGCACCCATAATTTATTCTATATTATTAGTAGAATTTCTTCAGATTTGATTGGCAAATTTTGAATAAAAACAAACGGAATATTATCGGGTCCGCAACTTTTGCTTTTAATTTGATTTAAACTGTTGTTTAATTCAGATAAGTTAAATATATCGTTTTTGCGCGATACAGTCGTTATTAATATTCATGTTTGGTTCGTATATTATTGAATTATTTTGTTCATATATTTTTAATTGAGATGAATTCGTCATTGAGTTGTTTATTACTGCTATTCGATTTGAATTTTTCTCCTAGTTTATTAGCTACGTCAAACGGCTCCGTAACTATAACGCCGTCATTAACTAGTATTTTAATTTGCTGTAATAGTGAACCTTTGAATTTTTTAATCTTTGTCCATAACTCTTTGGAGCTGGACTGAGATGAAATGGATGTTGTAAAATCACACCAAGAATTTTTTCGCTGGTCTTAAGTATATTGCGAGCTTTGGCTCGGATTTTTTTTGTATGTTATAGATCGCATGGGTTGTTATTTTTTGAATTTGTTAAATGCTTTTTTCTTTACTTTCACTATGTTCTCACATTCTGCATTCCACCACGGAAATGGTGATTTTTTCCATTTGTATTGTGTTATATCTACTGCAGAGTGGGCCAAGAGAATTATAGCGTTCGTCAATGATGCAACATGGTCATTAATATTAGAATTACAGGTTATTGAATTGGTTATATTTTCTATTTCATTATTAAATGTTTCGGAGTACTTATTCTAGTTAGAATTTTTCAGTCTCCATCTGTTATTTATTTCAACTGGATTTTGGTTATTGTCAAATTAGATGTCTATGGTTGTCTATGGTTGTCTATGTATGTCTATGGGACAGTGGTCACTAGAGTATATTTCATYGATTACCTCCCATTCTAAATATGTAGCTATATTTGAACTTGTGATAGACAAGTCTATTTCTGAAGTTTTGCCATTGTACTGGTTGAAATGGGTGGGCTGATAATTATTCAGTAGAATTAATTCGTCGTTGTCTAATATGTTTTCGAACAATTTACCTTTAATGTCGGTTTTTTCGGAGCCCCACATTGTGTTGTGGGCATTAATGTCTCCGAGAAAATAAACAGTGTAGATAATTGATTTATTATCTGTATTATATTTTGTTTGTTGGTATTCTGGCTGTTAGATAAATATAAATTGCAGATGGTAATGTGTTTTTGTAATGTGATTTTTGTGGCTGTATCTTCTAATTTCGAATTTATAGGAATGGGTACCGATGGGTATGATGTATATACAAAAATAGCGCCCCCCCTCGCTAGCCCTATTGCTGTGTTCGTGATTTTTGTGATACCTATTGTAATTAGTTAAAGTGGCGACATAATCGTTTTTAAAGCTGATATTGAAAGGTAAACATTCTATTACTCTTTAAGCAATTTTCTAAAAGTAATTTAAATTGGTCGTAGTTAATAGGTATGTAGTGATCCCTCACCAACGCCTATATTTTGAGTTCGACGACGTAGGTTGACGATCAGGTTTTTCAAAGGAGACGTTTACAGGTTTTATTAATTATACAATGMTAAAAATTATTATTAAATGTTTATTGATAATAAATGAAATTATATCAATTTGAGGACAGAACGTAAAGTATTTGCCCGAGAATTTAGTAATCTATTCACTAAACTAAATGGGAAGAACTTAGTCTGGCGGCTATGTAGAGTGCGCGTACTCTGCGACCAAATAAGTTCTACATGTGTGTGAGATTGAACTAATTCTAATTCTGCTATGGACAAAGTCCTGAATTTATTCAGAATCTACACTGCTAACATGGCTAGTGTTACACGTAAGAGACTAAGAGGTGGATCAAAAGGTACCGACGTTGTTGTTGTTATTGCCAAATGTCGTTGAAAGTCGTTTCTGTTCGTAATTTTCTTATAAATTTTAGGAATTRTAACGAGCATAACATTATAAATAATGTTGTTTTTGCAAAATTTGAAAGGCTAAGTGTAGTGTTGAATATTTATTGCTAACTTGGTCCTTGGTTATTCGTTCACACGGATCAGATATGTGATTTATATATCATTACATTATAATTGTAGTCGTGTAATTAATATAATATGCAAAAAAATAGTAAATTTACTCTGTCGGTTTACTACAGGTATCTCCTTAGTTACATTAAATACTGATTTGCATGGACTGAGAAGTTTGTCCATCGTATCTATGAAATGTTCGGCTGGTGATTTAAGTTTTTTCTTTTGGATCGACATTGTAGTATTTTCTTTTGTTTTTTCTGTCTATCGGGTTACTTTTTTTTTTATTGGTGAGTTAGTAAGTAATGTTGGAGACTGAGGAAGAGATGAGGTTGACGACAACGTTGGCGGATTTGGTCTTTTGATGCCACCAGTCAGAGAGATTGCTTCCCAGGTGCTTTGAAGGCTATTTAAATTCATTATAATCTAATCATTTACGAGTGAATTGTCAATCAAGCTGCCCGATATCGCGATCTTTTCATGAAAATTGGCCGTAAGAGCTGATTGGTTAACTTTAGAGCTTAGTGTATGTTTATTGGTTTCAGTATTAAGATCCACAAGGAGGGGGACCATGCAGCTTGTATCAATTGTGATAGATTTATTTGCATTTATTGTACATTTGGTAGAGGTGTGACTTTTCTCTTTGCAAAGAAAACATGTAACAGTGTCATCAGACAAAAAAAATCTATAGTTGTCGGAATCGTAGTTTATTAGCATAGAAGTCGGTAGTTTTCCGATTTCATCATGTGATATAAACAACTTCGAAAACTAAGTACGTGGTCCAGACTGTTGGCGATTGAACCAGCGTGTAGGAACGAGATGGGACTTGTAGGTATTATATTGTATTTTGATAGTTGTTCCAAAATAGGACTGTTTGAAATATTGGGAAATACGGTTGATACTATGATGCATTTGTCGGGATTATGTAACCTTCTTAATTTAATTAACTGGTTCTCGATGATGATGTGTTGGTTATCATGTATGAGTTGATCAACAAGTTCTTTTTTTGAAAGATAAATTCAATAACGGTCTTTTGAGATCCTGAATGCGAATATGATATTTGTGGGTGTGATTATTTTGCTTAATTCGATTAAATACGTTTTTTGTGGAACTCCGTCGATAGTATCGAAAATTATAGCCAGATCTTTTCTGGAGAAAACGTTTTGGGATGTCATAGCTGCRAAGGTTTGATTGTGAGAAGATTGTGTGTTGGAGGAAAGGTTAGGTTTAGGTTGATTAGATGATCATCCATTTAGATTGGTGTGATACGAACAATAATGTACGTACCTTGTGAGTAGATTGCAGTTGCAGATGTAGTGTAACACTCGCGGAAACCAGTTGCGCATGTCTTTACTCTTTGAGCGGTAGGTACTCGCAAACAAAACTATTTTTTGTAAATCATTAAAAAAGTTGATTTACTAAATTTCATCAAGTGTTTGAATAAACGTAATGTGATKGAATGATGATTATTTAAAACCTAGATGTGTATAATGGATAGTTGATTTCGTAAAAATCGATATGTAYATTTGTAAGACGGAATTCACCATTCATACACAACTCAGACTAACGAACTTTCTAACTAGGTATTCCATTTTTATTGCTTTTAATCGGAGCAAACTAATATATATKATATTATTAGAACTCTACTATAAAACATAAAAATTTATAATTAGTAATTACTATGATGACTTTCAATGTAGTATGCACATAATAATATTGCATGCATTGTTCATCTACGATCTATATTTGTGTTCTACAAAATAGTAGATCAACATTGTGTATGTAACATGCTATATRTTGTGATACTTACATTAAACACCATGTGCTCTTGTATGAACTTCTGTATGGTGTAAACGATGTCTTTAATCTCAAAGTTCATAATATCCAAACTCTTCAACAGCTGTTCGTCCTTTTCACTGTACCCCAAGAACAAAAATACGCCTGGTACAAGCGTATACGTACCTGTTTCAATAAATCATATGTATCTCATTAGTAAAATGATATTGTAATTTTCACCTGATACACAAATAGATACAGTTTTTGTGGGTGCTCATGTAGCTAACGAAAACTAAAGGCGTAAAAACTTTGTTTTTGATCAATAAACATACGAACACTAGTGTGTTTTATCACTGTAAATACTAGCAAGTAGGCAATATGGTTTTTTCACGAATGGATTATGAAAATAATTTCTCATATTTTCCTACACTCATATACCTATTGGAATAATTATTATTACTTAAGTTCATTGCCTATACTTCATAAGATATTCAAAAAGTAAAAGTTTATTATATATAATATAATACATAGTATGGTAGCAAAATACTTATAAAAAAATAGTTTGATTTTAGAATCAATTCTATAAAATATGTGGTCAAAATCATATATACCTACACATACATCATAATATTTATTATTCGTTGAAAGATAAAATATAGTAAATGCAAAAGTTCAGGTATGGACCTAAAAGTAGTTTTTTGAGTGTTGTATACAAGCCCGTGAGACGTTAAGAWAATCAATATAATTTTTGAAGAAGTATCTATAATACCTACAAGTGTAACAAAAAGGACAGAGAATTGTTTAAAACATTATAACGTTGAAAAAATGTACTGTTTTATAGTATTTGAAAATACGCTGTCAGTTGTAAGTGGTTACTCAATAACATAATTGTTTTTAACTCCAGTCTTTACAACCCTAAAAAAAGTCATACATCCAATAACCACGACTGGCAGGCAAATGATTGAGATTGGCAAATCGTTTAGGCACGGATAATTAGATTTTCACTATTTATTACATCAAAGTGATAATAATAACCAATAATAATAATATTTGTTGTCATAATATCATACCCATTTTTGGCCGCATGCAAATAAATCGTCCAACATAGCAAAGGCACCGTCCGCGAAACGCTATGTACGCTGGTGACTCGTGATGATAGTACGCAATTTCTGTTTCACACGGCTCGACTTCCACACAAATGGTCTGACAAGTCAGACTTTCACCGGGCTTACAATGACACACCTCTGAGCATGAATTGTCCTCTAAACTGTGAAGCTATAATTAAAAAAGTCCATAAAATCACCATTTATTATATTATTAAGAAGTTTTAAATATTCTACATAATATATCATAAAAGACTTAAAAATTACTTCATCAGTAATTATAATATGAGTTTTACAAAATATATTTTATTGTCATAATTTTTTAAGTTTGATTTTTACTTTTGTTTTCAATAACATTATGTGTTTAAATTTAAAATAATTAATTATAAACAAAACATTATATTTATCGCAATTATTATGCACTTAACCGGTAAAAAAAACAAGTAAAACAAGAAACGGCCGGGTGAGGTTCACGTTGAAAAGAATATTTGCAGAGAACTCTACCATATTAGACATGAAAAACTGATATTTTTTAAAACCAATTATTCAATGTTATTGCTATCGAGTGATACGAAAATGTCAAGTTATTATTTTTTAACTCATTCTACATATGTAGCATTGTAGCTATTATTATCAATACCTACTCATTAATTCAAGCTTATAAACAACTATTTTGGTGCATAATCACGCACTAAAATGATTTAAATTTAAATTAATGAAATTTTTGTAATTTAATAGTGAAAAATGTAAATTGTAAATCCACTGGACTATCGTTTTTTACTATACTATACAATTTAAAAGGGTCTACATGGTCAAATAAATATATGGCAATAAAAATTGTATATATCATATTCATAGAGTATAGACTCAACCATCCAATAAAATATAGGAAGACGAACTTGTAAGAGAAAAATATTTATTCACAAACAAAAAAAGGTTCTATACATCTGTTATTATAACTTTTTGTTCCTTAGCAAACACTTTTTTACTTTATTATTTATTTTAAGGTAAAGTTTCACTAAGTTCAAACCAAAATTTAAAAAAA